AGAATATTTCTTTGGCTCAGTGGCATGTTTTGTTTTTTCACTTTGTACGTATATTTTTATTTTTATAGGAAGTCGCCGGTCAAAGAGGGTGCGAAGCGTGCAAGATAAGCGGAGATAAGTGAAATTTCGGGGACGAGAAATTTAGGTGGGACGATGCATATCGAGGCCCGCCAGGGAGTAAAGGAAAATCGTCCCTCGTTTCATCCTTGGTGCATTTTCCGAGGCTTTACGTGGTCCTTCCCCCGGGAAAGCCCCTCTAAATGCAGTCCTGTTCAGAGGACCAGATAGGATCTTCGCGGACCGAGTGGTATCATTTTTGTCTTTCCCGGCTTCTTTTTCTTTGACCGTGGTTCAGGGTGAAAATCTGTCGAGTTTTCCGGGAAATAATTCCGACACCTTTCAAGGATCTCTTTGAAAAGCCAAGATGGCCGCTCCTGTGGCGGTTCCTGAGTCGTCCCCCGGGATCGAACTGCATTTTCCCTGCCGGAAATGGAGTTCCACCCGCGTCATCGGAAGGGAGAACTTCCCGCAGGGATCGGAGGATCCGACCCGATCTGGGGAATATTACTAGGGCACTCAGAGTTAAGCAGGAAAAATGAAAAAACCGTCCAAATGCCGGTGATCGATCGCGTCTTTTATCGACGCTCATCGCCATCGCCCTAGTGGGAGAAGGGGTGAAATTAAGCGGGAGATTATACATATTTCTAGATGATAATTAAAGAGAGTGTCAGATGTATGCTTGTATATACAGCTTTCGGCGAGTGCGGGACTCGCAGCATCCCTGGTGGATCTGGGTCAGCAAACGTCCGGGATCTCCGGGGCGCTCTCTGCCTCGTTGCGTCCCTGGCTTCATTGTCGCTTCCGAGTTTTCCAAGGGGCGAAATTGCGGAAAACCTTTCGTGCCCGAGTCTTTCCGGCCAAACCTCGGACACGGGGGAGGCAGTCAGGTTGGACCGCGTAGGTACGTGCCCGGTTTACCCTGGACGCCGAATACAGGGTACAGCCCCGCAGGACTTCCCAAAATTGCTCCAGTGACAATAGTCATTTTCAACCCCGCACTTCCTCCTCCCAAAATTCGAATATTTTTGCACCTTTCGACCCTCTGTGTCCTCGTCTATTTGAAGCCCACGTGAAACCGTATCCCCTTGAATTCGACGATTTCAATTAAAATTTTGCCCAAGGGGTAGGAAGCCCTCTCTGGATGTAATTAATCCACGAAATATATACTTCTGATAACTTACCGTACCTTAGTAAAAAAAAACATATTTTTCAAAATGTACGGCTATGAAATACTATCGGTGGTGGTTTAGAAAAGTGTTGGGTGTCTCTTCGCGATTTTTATCATTTTTATCCTAGTATACCTCCAACGTCCCTAAATTACCCCAGGGAAAAAATTATTATCGGTAGCACACTTTCCCATCGAAAATTTGAAAAAATCTTGCCTCCTCCTTTCAATACCTCGTCCATCCCGAGCCCATGTGATATCAAATTCCCTCGAATTCGACGTTTTTAATTAAACTTTTACCCAGGGGGTAGAAAATCCTTTCCGGATATAATGAATCCAGGAAATGTATACTTCTGATAGCTGGGTGCCCGAGTAAAAAACTCGTTATTCCGAATTTACGGTTACGAAGTATGGTCTAGGGCAGCTTTGCGAGGTGTAGCATGTCCCTTCATCATTTTTATCAACATTTTTCTCAGGGACTCCTCATTTGGGAAATTCTGGTTCCGGGCGATATCCGGTGTCCCTCTGATATCACGTGCTTTTCATAAAATTTCCCCTTTCTCTCGGCGATATTTTGTGAGCTATCTCGGCGGGTCCTCTTCGGATCGATCTTCTGGCCGGGCGTGTCGGTTCATTAATAAAATTGTAAATTGTTCCTTAGCCGTGAGCGATGCTCCAGTCCGGAAGAAAGGCGGGAGACGCGACGCTACGTGAGTAGCATGTCTCGCTCCAGCCCCTCGGATCTCGTCCTCGAATTTTCCTCTCGCCTTTTCCTTCCATTTCGCCCCTTTCATCGCTTTTTCTTCCCTCGCCGACAAGGTAAAAGCCCGGTCCGAGCTCGTATAAATGGCGAGGAATGCTTGTACCCGGCAACTCTACTCAAGAACGACATCTTACAATCGCACGGGTACACGGGCCGAATTCTCGACGAGGCTCGCGGCCCTTTTCCCATTTTCGATAATACCCCCCCGGGAATTTTAATCCCAACCGACGCTCATTATTTGTTCCTTACTCGGTTTCGACATCCACGGGAAAAAGTGCCCATGACGATTCCGTTCCGCCGATTCGGTGCCGGCGGGCAATATATATGCGTAAGTCTGAATAATTCTAATAAGGCTTATAACAATGTAATAGTATAATTATTATATCACACTGTATTATTGCATCGTTTTGTAGTCCTGTTTCGCGAAAGAAAGATATTTGGGACCGCTTTCGCAATCCCGGCTGATACATTTTTTATTCACGGGGAGCACATTGTTTTTATTTATACAACATTTGACGCGCGCCAGTAATCCGTCTCATTTGTTTTAAAAATTCTAAGATTCGCCATGTCGAGTAAAAGACGGAAATCATTTGTGACGGAAGAAGAATCATGTGGTTGCTTGAAAATAAAAATGCTCGCCCGTTCACGATTGGATGAGACATTTGCATTTATTATGCGTTATTTTAATCCGAATGAATCTGGTTACATATATGAAGATGATGTTTAAATCTGATAATAATTATGCATGATTGCGATGTCGTGAAATCCTAGAGCGGGGGTAAATAAAGTACTCGAGGGGGGTTGGAGAAATATTTTCATCGGCCATTACCCTCAGGGTGGAGGGGACTCCTTGCGCCAGGAACGCGGAATCGCGGCCCGTTCCCTGGATCGGAAATGGCGGGGAAGATGTTTAAAACGGAGTCCTAGGTGCATCTAGGAGCGGGGGCAGCTCGTAAATCGAAATTACGACTCGACCGAGGCTCGTTGGGTTAACGATCCGCCAGCCGGAAGTCGATCTTTCCCCGGCATTCCTGGCGACGTCCTCTCGTTGCGGAAGGTGGATGAAGCGGACTCGGATGGATGTCGAGGAGACGCGGAGGCTCGTCGGCCCCTCGAGAGAAAAGAGGGAACGACCACCGTTTAACCACGTTTCGTTCGTGTCGTATCGTCGCCGAAGATCGAGCCTGCCTCTTCAGCATCGCTCGACTTTCGAGTGGCGCGCCGAGGACGAAGAACCGAACAAATGAATGAAGAAGGAACTACGGACAAAACGAGGAAACTTGAGGGAATCCGCGTGCTCTGGGAAAAAAACATCGTCAAACCTTACAACCAGAGATATAAAACAATCGCCAGTTGTATATCGCATATAAAAAAAAAAAGAGTATAATAATTAACCGCAGTTGGCACAGCAACGAATCCTAAAGTTCTTTCTTTCTGCAGTTTCATGCGATTCCTCTCTCATGCCTTCAGAATCTTGGCCTCTCCATTTCTAATAACGAAGTCTTGACCCCCATGAAATGTCAATTTTACAAAAAAAAAAAAAAAGAAAAACGGCTAAAATGTCCTTAAACAAATTTTTCAAAGATGGAAATTTCATGGGTCCCAGGATCTCCCTAGTAGCCTCCACATTCGCGTTGCAAAGTTTGAGAGAACTTCGAAGGAAAGTTCCATAAAGCGGCCTCTTCGACGGTACTTTGGCGTGCTTAAGCCTCCCGCGCGTAAAGATACTCCATGCAGCGTCGCGTACGCACTTGGCGCGCGACGCAACCTCGCCGGGCGATAATCGATGGCAGCGCCACGCGACGCCGGCCGTAGTTTTCGATCTACGCGGCGGTCGCGTGCGGTCCTTGGCGGGCGTTCCGTTCCGCGTCCGGCCGTTCCTCCGGCGGGGGTTGGAGGGCGCGTGCGCGTCGCGGCGTCGGCGTCGGCGTCGGGGGCGTCGCTCGGTCGGGCGGCCGTCTCCGCGACTCCGGGCCAGTCCGAAGGGTAGCCGTGGAGGGTCTCGTCGCCTCTGGACCGAGGGAGGATGCTGCGCTCAGCTACCGCGGAGAGCGAGTAAGGTGTAGCGCAGCGCGCTGAGTCCGAGCAGCGGGCTGCCGGGGAGTCCGTCAAGGGAGAGGCCGCAGCGGAATGGGGCGCGAACGCGCGGCCGGGCGGATCGATCGCGACGTCACCGCCACGGGGGCGGCCGCCCCGGCGTAGCGCGTCACGCGCCGCGACGCCAGGTGACGCGACCCGACGCGACCCGACGCGGCTACGCCCGCCCGACGACGACGACGAGGATCGCCAGCCGACGCGGCGATGGCGCCCCGCGGCTGGAGTTGACCGCTGCGGCACCGGTCGCCGATCGATCCGGAAGCGAGCGCCCGCCGCTTCCGGCCCGGCTCAGGGGCCACCCAGGTGGAGGGCCACCTGAGCGCGTCGCGGCGCCGCCGGGTCAGGGACGCCCGTCGCCCCCCGCGCTCATCCAGCTCGGAGTCCCCCTCGTCATCCGCGTCCTCCACGTAGTCCAGGGTTCCCGTCTCGAGACTCTGCCCGGTCTCCGGTGTGCAGTGCCAGTGGATATCTACGACCGGGGGGTGCGCGACGGGAGGCGACTCTCGACCTGGGGAAGCTAGAGAAGTGGGACGGTCTTGGCACCCGGGAGCTTCCCGGTGGGTGGTCTAGCGATCCATCGGTCTACGACGCGGAGGACCCATCAAGGAGGAGGCTGGAAGGGACCTAACTCCCCGCAGGGGTGCGGTGGACTTGGTTCACTCCCTGGTGGTGGACAGGTATCTTTGTCGCCATCGGGCGATAGAAGAACTTGGAGAATTCCTGGGAGGTCGGTCTCGATCCGGAAGACTTGTGGGGTTCGTAGGTGGGAGTCGTTAGAGGTTGGAGGTGCGGTTGAAAGAGAACTTTGAAGTACCTTTGAAGAGACGAGGTGGGTGGGTGGAAGAGGGGTCTTCGGAGTGCGGTTGTCGTATCTCGGGTAGGTAGGGACGCAAAGCTGGTGCTTCCGGCGGAAAGATGACCGTGGTCCCGAGGTTGCCTTGGCCGGTGGTCCTGGTCGGGGTGCTCCTCGGCGAGGCCGCTTCTTTCGTCCTGGAGGGATCCTCGACGAGCTACGCGCAGTTCCGCAAGTGGAACGCGGCTCTCAATGGCACCCTCGAGTTGGAGTTCAAGACCGAGCAGGGCAACGGGCTGCTCCTCTACACGGACGACGGGGGCACCTACGACTTCTTCGAGGTGAAGCTGGTGGAGAGCGCCCTGAGGCTGCGCTACAACCTCGGCGGCGGCGCCCAGATCGTCACTGTCGGCCACGACCTCGGCGACGGGCACTGGCACAAGGTGCAGATAACTCGCAACAACGAGAACACCAGCCTCACCGTCGACGGCGTGGGCGCGACTTCGACCTCCAGGGGCAAGGAGTTCGAGTTCGGCAAGCTCGCCGGCAACTCCGACGTCTACGTGGGGGGTCTTCCGGGATGGTATTACAGCAAGCTTACGCTGTTGGCGCTGCCTAGCGTCATCTTCGAGCCCAGGTTCAACGGCGTCATCAGGAACCTCGTCTACGCCGACGGGGAGAACCTCGTGCCCAGGCGGCAGGAGATGAAGAGCAGGGACGCCAAGGTTGGTCTTTTGCCTCCGTTTAAGCCCCTTTATTCCTGATCGATCGCGAAGGTCATCGAGAAGGATTTTTCAAGGTTCCTAATTTTTTGAGGACGCAACCCACCCTTAAAAGTCGAATACGGCGTGAGATCTTTCCGGCGCCTCTATTCCTGATCCATCGCTATTGTAAACGTCACACTTCGCCCCTTCTGGGTTCCCATTGAGCCAATCCTCCCCATTATTCCGCATTTGTCAATAAAATTAATTACCGGTCATTAATTATTCATATCCCTCGGGGCCCAATTATGTAGATTCCCAAAAAGCACCGACAGTCGCGCGTTTACACTGCGGGGGCGGTTTAATTCGGAGTCCCGGGATGGCTCGAATTAGGGAAGGCAAAAGCTGCGGTCCAGACACCCTCGTTTGCGTGGGAAAAATCGAGACCACCCCTTTGCGGATGTAAACGAGCCGCGGCGGAATAAGCCATAAAAATAGCGTCGCCGCCATTATGGAGGGTGGACGTTTCGCCCCCTGTACTTGTAATCCACCAGGGGTGTAAACTTCGCGTCTACTGCTTTTCTATGACCTCGTAGAAGCGCAGGGGTGCGTCTTGACCTCGGCGCTGGTTTACCGAGGAACGATCGCCGCCCCCGCAGGATATTCCCCCCGCCAGGAGGTGGCCACCCCCGATGATTGCTCCCCTCGATAACATTTTAGTAAACGTCATTACTCTCGGGAGGGCGCTCGGTTTACTTTTCATCGACCCGAAGGAGAAGTCCTTTTTCCTCCGTTTTCTCATTACAACCGGGATTTTTCATAACCTCCCCTCGAGGAGCCCGAATTAAGAGGAGAGCTCATATCGCTGCTCTACCACGGTAATTTTATTCAATGTGTTCATATATATATATGACAAGTATAACAAGTGTAAGTATTCATGCAATGATATCTATGATACTAGGTTTAATTAAATANATATTTGTTAAGTGATACTGTTGTTAAAAGGATTTCCCGACTTCTTAAATGCGAGATTCGAAAATATATTAACAGCGGATTTGTATATACGTCCATGAATATACTTTTTAAATGGGTTTCATGACTTCTTAACTGCGAGGTGGCAAAAAGTGTTAACAACGGGTTCGCACGCCCTCCGGAAGAGGGCGCGTCTGGGGTGTACTTCCGGCCTGGACGCGTAATGGCGAAATGATCATTCCCTGACGACGGTTTAATAATACCACTATTGTACCCTGCTGAGTGCTCGGTTCATGTTTTATCGATCAAGGGGAGAGGCTCTCGGCGTTATTTCGCGACGCCCCATTTCGCCTTTACGAATGAGATTCCTCCATTTTTTCCTCTTCCGAGCAGTCTGGCGAAAAAAAGAGCGAGGAGGCGACGGAGACGTCGTCGAGAAGGAAAAGCGAGCGATATGCGGCTATCGAAAACCAGAGAAAATTCGAGGGAAATTGAAAATCCCTGCGCGAACTCGGGTCGCGTCTTTTCCGCGACGCGGTGTCCCCACCGACCGCGTTTCCCCCGCGAGGACGTGCAGGCTGCTAAATGCTCCTCTCCGATTTTTATTTAACCCTCCACGCTGCGGACGGGGCGCGTCTTGGCGTTTTCCGCGCCCGAAACGCTTCCCTCCCGGGAATTGCTTTCCGCGGACAATTTCCGCCGCGAGGAAATTCCGCTGACGCCGGCCGCAGGGACGGAAGTGGCCTTTCCCTCGGGATCCGGTCTTGACGAATACACCCCGATTTCTGTCTCTTTCCTTCTCTCGTCGTGCCTTTTAAACCGGAGAAAGTGAGACGAATGTCAAAGCCTCCGCGGAAAAGGGAAATGAGACCGTCGGAAAAATGCGCCGATCGATGGACGACATATAGGAGGGATTAAGAGACTCGAGGCCTCTTTTTCCTTCCTTCCCCCATTTTCTCATGTCTTCTGCCTTCCCATTGAACACTTTTCCCTTATCTCCGAATTTTCTTCCCGATGGAAGGCGCCGTCTGAAAATCGTAACCCTTTTCCGCCCGAATTTCCGAAGTTCGTCAGCGTCGAATATTTGCTGCTTAAGATTTGACGCTCGTTTTTCCAAACAAAGTTGCTATTACTCCACGTCCATATTACACCCCGTTCTGAGGCGCAGCCTCCACTTTACTCTTTGACAAAAATAATTGTGTTTCTAATATTAATTTGAATTGTTTTTCCCCCTTCGTTAATGGTCGCCCAGAACGCTCTTGGTCTTCAAGGATCTCGTCTCCACCCCTTTTCTATTAAAAGCACAATTGCCCTGTGCCTTCATTAGCAGTTCCTGGATAATACACATTGTCGATATTGCAAGCCACTACATCTGCCTTAAATAATCTAACTAAAGCAAAAAAAACTAACATTAAATACGCAATTACAGTTACCGAAATGTGGAGCGAAGTCCGCGCAATTAAAATTGTACATCTCACGGTCGGAGGAGAAACGATTGTGTGAAAGAACAAAGCATAGCACCTTAAGTAGCAAAACACCGGGGCATTATTCTGGGTAACCTGATAAAAATGTTATCTGTGTTAAATTAACGTTAAATTTAGTCGCGCATGGGAACTGTTGAATTTTTCTCGATGCACCGCGAGTGCACTTTATGCAGGGGCTCCGGTACCCCCTTCGCGAGCAGTTGGGAGGTTCCTTTTTCGAGGGTGGTTCAAAAACGAGGGAGGCAGGCTTCGCCAGTTTGCTGCTCGCCGGTATAAATTCCCAGGAGCAAAAACGGCGACGCTGTCAGTGCTGGCAGCCAGCAACGAAACGGCGTTTCGGGGTGAAGGCCCGGCAAGTGTCGCGACTCCGACTTCTCATCTCGCGCCCCTTCCGGCTCCGCCCTCGCGAGTGTCGCTGGCCGTGATCCAAAATCCGAAATTTCGCCGAGCTCAGCGGAAGGCCGAGACCGGAAGAAACCACAGGCTCCCCGCTAACGTCAATTAATTCCCGCTGGATATTCGCCGCGATTCCGATCCCCGGGGAAAATCCAACATTGAATTGCGACCCCCTCGTCGCTCGGAAATTTGACATGAAAATCTCCAGATTTCGAGATCTCGAAAACGGCGCCTCACCTGAGAGAAAAAAGTTCCGTCGAATCAGAGTAACCCTTCTTTGAACGGTATCATTAGGAAATTTCAAATCGCCACAATAATAAAATAGGATAATCATGAATATAATTTGTGCTGTCGAAGGGAGGTAATGGATTTCCTTTTGTCGTTCGTGTTGAAGAAAATACACGTCTGTTAATGCGATTCCGATTCCTGGGGAAAATCCAACATTGAATTGCGACCCCCTCGTCGCTCGGAAATTTGACATGAAAATCTCCAGATTTCGAGATCTCGAAAACGGCGCCTCACCTGAGAGAAAGAAGTTTCGTCGAATCAGAGTAACCCTTCTTTGAACGGTATCATAAAGAAATTTCAAATCGCCATAATAATAAGATAGGATAATCGTGAATATAATTTGTGCCGTCGAAGGGAGGTAATGGATTTTCTTTTGTCGTTCGTGTCGAAGAAAATACACGTCTGTTAATGCGATTCCGATCCCCGGGGAAAATCCAACTTTGAATTGCGACTCCCTCGTCGCTCGGAAATTTCACATGAAAATCTCCAGATTTCGAGTTCTCAAAAACGGCGTCTCACCTGAGAGAAAAAACTTCCGTCGAATCAGAGTAACCCTTCTTTGAACGGTATCATTCAGAAATTTCAAATCGCCACAATTATAAGATAGGATCATGAATATAATTTGTGCTGTCGAAGGGAGGTAATGGATTTTCTTTTGTCGTTCGCCTCGAAGAAAATCCACGTCTGTTAAGAAATTTCCCTGGCCAGTTCGCGTTTACATTAGCTGTAGTTAGATATCCTTGTTTTACCATGACCATGGATTACTTTTTCGCCCGAATAGGGATTTCTTTCCGCATCCATTCCTTAGGCCCGATTCAAGTTCAATCTCCCGGGGAGACTTCATCCCCCAGAATCCAGCTCCCCCCTCGTTTCGAATTTTCCAATTTCCTAGCGTCGCCTTTCGCGAAATCCCGAGCAATCGGACCTCGCTCGAGGTGGACCCGGGGCGTCCACGTAACCGCATTTATTTCTCCCGTTCCGCTTCCGGCTTCGAAATCGAAAATCGAACCCAGAACGCACCCCGCCATCCATGGACCAGGGGTGGGTACCGATCTCCCGGAAATCGCGAGTCGTCGAGAAGGACGTTTAGCGATCCTTTGCGCAACCGCCCTCTCATTACCGTTCATAACTCGGGCATTAAGAGCGTAATCTACCCGCGGCACGAAAGGCGGCCGGGACTTTCCCGTAAACTGCATCGACTCGGCTTCGCAATGAGCGGCATCGACCGCAAGCACTTGTTTTCAGAATTCCCTTCCGTGACATTTTTACGATCCGCCATATCGCGACATAGGAAATAAAAGGAAAGGAAAAAGAGAAAAAAGAGATACCCCAGAAAGAAACAAAAAATAACAGAGAAACACCCGACCAGGTATTCCCGTGGTAATAACGAATGAATAAAAGATACTTTCGAATACAGCGTACCGGCGTTTATTCCCACGTGCATATGCAGATGATCTCCCAGGATTCAATTATTAACCCGGCAATATTCGCGCGAGATGAGAATCAGTTTGGCTGGGATCAGTCGGGGGATTTTTCCGAAAATATCCAGTAAAAGTGTATAAATAAAATCGGGGGCACACACATAGGTTGGGATAGAAGGTCAGGAGGAGCATCTGGCCTTTCCTCCGGACGTTCATCCCCTTAGTCGGCACTTCCGTAACCCGACCCACGCGTTTCCGGCGTCCGGGCGGAAGAGGACGAGCCGAGGAGAGAGAAAGTGGCGGTTCGATCGAGCGCGTGCCGGCATGCGGCCTTTAGCGGCGAAAGGGGTGAAGAGGGGTTGAGAGGGTGGTCGGAAAGGGGTGAAAGCCGAGACGAAGGCCGGTCTTTTGGCTCGTTCTCAAGTGCGTCACGTGGGCCGCGGTGTTCGTGCGTAAAAGCTCG